CGTAGGTGAGAGAACGCAGTGCTCGAAGCGTTCCCATGGGACAATCACGAGCATCCCGTTCTTCCTTGAGCGCCGGAACGCCAGACAGCCTAAGCGATAACGAGAGTTCCTTCAAAATTGGCTCCGCCAGGAAGACCAGTACGCCTTACAGAAGCACAATAACTCCAGGTACGTAAAAAAGCCACACTTACGGTGGAATTTAACAGACAATTTTCTAATATAAATTTTATTGCAGGTGGTAGTCGGCCATCTAGTAGACCAGCATCGAGACCAGCGTCCAGACCAACAAGTAGACCAGGAAGTAGACCAGCCTCCAGGCAAGGTAGCAAACCTCCAAGTCGTTATGGTTCCACACAGTCGCTCGATAGTACCGGTAAGAACCTTCAAAGATTAAAAAAAAAAAATTCTCCTTTCATTTATCAAACAACAATGATCAATTTAATCGTTGATTTCAGACGATTCGAGCAACCTAAGCCGCATTCCTCGCAGAACAGCCGTCAGCACAACAGGAAATACTCCAACTTCCAGCAGACATAACAGTGTTTCAGGAAAACGACTCGGAACACCGGTGAACGGCTCTAGTTCCCGACCCCGAACTCCCACCGGTTTGGTTAGCCCCGCCAGTGGGGTTCCAGCTAGGTTCGTACCTGTGAAACCCTTCCGCGTGTGTTCGTCCGAAAAAGGAAACCTGGAAATTGCGCAAGAACAACTAACTCGCATCTTGTCGAACGTAGATCAATTGATTTTCTCGCATCGTGTGTACAGTACCGAGTACGCTTTTCCTAAGGAAGAAACATTTTATCTTCACTCGTTATATCGCCACTTGGATCTCCTACTAAAGGATAGCGTGCTCGGCACTGTACATTCGTGACAGAGATATATCTTCGTATTCGCATCCCCGTTCCGTAAATGTTGGAATGATTTTTTGATCGACGAAATGTTCATTCGTTGTTCCCAGCATTTTGTACCCAGATCGTGTTTATTTTCTCTTTTTTTTTTTGTTCCCCGATTTCTCCCGTTACTTTTTCGATAAACAGACAACACGCGGTTGTATTGTCTTTGATACACGATTTTAGAACTTAGAACGCCTCGTACCACGCATATTAACAAAGTCAGTTCTAAACGTGTCGGTTAACGACGATTAACATAAGTTTCGTTAATAACATTTTTTTAGGTTTGGCACAATCCATAGAGCTTCGAGCATTCCAACCCTGACTGGTGTCGGAACACCGATCAGGTAAACTGAATTAACGATTATAGAGAATTGGCCGTGGAAAGAAATTGGCTTTAGCTTTTAATATTCTGTCAGATAAATTCTTAAGGTGGGTTTTATTACCAAAAGAAAATGGCTTCTCTGGGCGCATTCAATGAATTCTCTTTCAAATTTATGTACATTTAATGCTCGTTGCAGTGGTGGAGGTGATTCATACATCATTTATTCTCTTCTGTTTTTCATTCATTATGTTGGCTGTTGGTTTTCGTTCTATCGATGCTTCTCCTTTAGTCCGCGATTTTAGTAACAATTTGCAAGAATGAAAGCTCGACGAGACGCGCGTCTGCGCAGATAGGTATCTTAGGTATGTTAACACGTTCAACTGATGATTCGATGATGATGATGATTTAGCCGCTCGAGGATCCCCGTGTACGTGGGTACTGATATTAAATCCCCGCAATCGACGACCAGCAATATTTCAACTCATTCTACGCAAAGCAACCACTCGACGGTTTCTACCGATTCTACCGGGTATGGCCGAACTACTTTCCCGCTGTTAACACTCGCTCGCTTCTCTTTTCTTTTCTTTTTGCACTTTGTGTGAAATGCATGCTACACAAGTATCTTTTTTTATTTTTAATATCTTTTCAGTTTTCTGTCATACTAGTACGAAGAATTCAATGCAGTTGATTGAGTTTTTATATTATTTTCACATTGAATTATTTTATGTTGGGGTGCATTCTTCACTCTCAAGAGTGAAAGTAGCTAATTGAAAATTGAAAAAACAAATTTGTACCATCTCATTAACCCATTAACTGCCAAATTTTTATTTAATATAATCTTGTTGCAAGTGATAAAAAAAGTATATATTTAAATCCCCATTTGGGGATCGTGGTAGTAAATGGGTTAATCACGAACGCTTGAATTTTATCGAGCACCCATTCGTCCTGCAACCGTTTCGCATTAGCATGGTATTTTAATTTGCATTGCCTGGCTTTTCGCTCCGTTAACGGCCGTTTATCGTGCACCGCTTGTGACGTACTAATAATTAAGTATCGTGTCTGTTTTCCAACACTATAGGAGCAGCTCGATGTGTACAAATTCAGCAACTAACACCTCGTCGGCCGTTAAGCAAGCTAGGTAATCATCGTTTCCCTCTGTCACTCGGTTTATACTTTGGTTTTCTCGCTTGATGTCATTGTTCTCGTTGTTGGTTGTTGTTCATCGCCTCGCGTGTATCATACCGATCAAATTCCGGAGAAACAGAGCCGGAATGTAGCCTGATACGTGTCCGGGCCCGATCAGGCTACGTATACGATCACGTTCGATTAAAATACTATATAGAATATATTCTAACGATTATTGTAATTTTCTGTAGAACAAGGACACCGTCCAGCGGATCAAGTACCCCACTGCCGCCGTCATTGAAACTCTCCAGGAAACCTTCCGGCGCCTCGGACACATCAGTGTCAACACCAGCCAGCCAAAGGAGAGGAAAACCAACGCCGATCGATCAACGTGCACCATTCCGATTATAGTCGCGCCACGGGCATAGTCGTTGAAAGGCCAAAATTGTTCTCGAAGCCGTGATCGTGTCACCGTGACCGAGATCGCCGCCTGTTTTGTTCACGGGGCATCCTCGTTGACGCTACGCTTAGGATATTCTAATAATATATTAACGATTCGAACGCGAGGGCGCCTCGAGAGAGAGAGAGAGAGACAGAGATGACATTCGTTAGTAAAGCTTTTTTGCTTCAAGGAGAACTTCATTTCTTTTTTTTTTCTTCTTTTGGTTAGGACCCTTCGAAGCGAGGTTCTCCTCGAGGATGCCCGAATCGAATGAAAGAGCTTAACGTTATCGAGATATTTTGTAAAAATATACGCATAGATAGCTCGCGTAATGCGCGCTCCTAAGAGAAAATTTATCCAAGAACGATGATGCGTGTCAGGGTCGTACGTAAAGGCGTCGTTGCGGCGTTATGTACGAGCCGATTAGCCGGTTTCGTAAGAGTGTTTCTTTACGGACAGATAGCGATAACGATTTATCAAATAATGTAATTGTAATTTTACGTTATCTATTAGGACTAGGTTTTTACCGGTCGTTAACACGAGTAACGTTTCATGTTCGTGAAAAGAAAAGAAAAAAAGAGAGAAAAAAAAGAAACCAGTCGCTGGTGTATGCGTATCCGCGACCGTACGCTTGTTTCAAACGTTGCTGACTTTATCGATCAATTTTTCTTTTTCCGTTTCCTACGATTGTCGTTACTTTCGTAAAGGGCCCCCGTTGGAAGGAGCAACGAATCAAGAAAGAATCCGATGATCGTATCGTTTTTTTCGAAGAGTAGAAAAACCGCGATGTATATACTGCTCGGTTGTCCGGCTCGGTATCGTACCGGGAATCACTCCGCGAATAAGACAGTTTCCTATAAAAAAGAAAAAAGAAAGAAAAAAAAAGACAAATTACGCTACATGCAACGATTTTGCCTTGAGTCTATCGCCGTAATCGCTTTTGCGCGAATCGTACCTGCCCTACCGAAGCGAACCGTGGCTCGGACGAACGAGTAGGGCCCTTTTATTTATACACGGCCAGTTCTGACCATCTGGCTTGTTCGATAACTATATTTTGCAGAAAGGCATTTCCGACCTTCTTTTTTATGTTTTTTTTAGAATTGCGATTAACGCGATAGCACGATTCGTACGATGATGCGATTAATCTATTAACTATTCTTAAATGTTAATCTCCTGTTTTCGCTTTACTTGAAGGTTCTGTATCGTCGCTACTAATTGCAGTGGAAAAATATACGCAAACGCACACGCATTTGACACCAAATATTCAGTGTCTTCGTCTATATATATATTCCTTTTTTACTGAAGAAAAGAAACAAAGTTCGTGTAAAAAGTATCGTTTATTATAATTATCGAATAGTTCATCGTGGTATATATATTTACAAATCATTCGCAAACTTAACAAGCCTATTTACAAATAACAAATTCACAAAAACGAACCGTAGCTACGCGATAGAAATCTTTACTTCCGTTTTAATTCGTCAAGAACGTTAGTGCCGTAGAGTGGGACGGATCGAACAGAACGGACAATCGATCCGAGACTGTCCTTTGTAAGGGGCACGAAAATAATGGACACGTAAAGTCAGCGTAAAAGACTTGTCTACACTCGTAGACAAAATCGCGCGACTGTATATAAACAAATTGCGAACTTTGTCTATAAACAGTCGCGAACAATTTGCAACACAGTCTATCCGATTTTGTCAGGCGTCCACATCTACAGTTAGTCGCTGCAACACCATGAAATTATCGAAAATGCAATAATGGACACAGGTCTGGACAGAGACTCATTTGTTTCTATGAACACGTCTCCACTACGAGATAAAAGCGCAACTTGTCTCAAGTTTTCCATTCGAGATGGAAGACAATAGACTTGTGATTTTGGTCTATGGAACTAGTCATAGACATCCGGTTTGTTCTCCATTAGTCTATAGACAGTTGCGGAATATTGTCTATAGACAGGAGTCGGGCGATTTTGTCAATGAGTGTAGACAAGGCAAAACGTATATTTTTCGACGTCCGTCAACGTTCTGCTCGTTTTCCGCGTGTCCCTTCTTGGACGCGTCGCTCGTTTTTGTTGCTACGGCGTACGGTACAGTCTCTTGGAAATATATAATAGATATATAGATATGTATAGTACAATCTCTTACACTTTTTTTATCCGACTTCGAAAAGGAGGAGGATAATAAATTCGATGTGTATATAATTTTTTTTTTTCCTTTTCTTTTTCTTTGCAACAATCACAGACTTTTTTCTTTTAATCCTCGCTCGAAGACTGATGTATACTTTTAGGCGACTCGTTGAAATCACTATTTGCGTGAAAGTTTCTGGAGCCGCGCCTTCAATCCCGTGGCGCTTATTTTCATTTTCTCCACTTTATTCTTACTTTTGTACTTCTTTCGCATTTCTTCCACTCGTTCCTTTCGTATTCGTTGTTGCTCCTTTTTCCATATATCCTGAAAAATTCGTTAAAATTACGACTCTCCGACAGAATGAAATCGAACAACGTACTTTGAAATCCTTGCAAAAACCCAGCCACATAATGAAAAACGCGTTTGGATCGGCTGCGTCCAGGTTACTTCCTTTAGGCGTGTACTGATAAAACTGCATCACAGCTTTGAATTTGTTCTTCGCGTCGAGAAGGGCCTCTTGCTCGTTAGCCAATTCCTCGGCTGCCTCCTGGAAGAACGAATCCATCTTCTCTTTGAACGGTACTGCCGTTTCCGGATCTGCTTCTACAACGAGGTTGCACTTTTCAGTGCAAACTGGAAAAATGACAGAAAGCGTCAGATGAATTAGCATCTCGATAAAGAAAATACTCGAATAATTCTCACCTTGCAATTCCTTTCGCAGTCTCTCTAATTCACCCGAGATGTTGTCGAAACTGATCGTCGAGGCAGCCTCGATGTCCGTTGGTTCGGGTATCGGTAACGGAAGAGGTTCCTCGAAATTGTGATCCTTTTCTTGAGCTAATCTAGCTTTCACGACGTAATGGAGCAACGTTATCCCAGGTACGTTCGATTTCACGTCCCTCAATTTTCCTAGAATCTCCAAGCCGAATCCATCGGCCTGTCCTCTTGTTCTATTTCCACCGTTCATATAATTGCCTAGGGTTAGAATCAACGCCATCACCTTCTTCAGGGAACTGGAGTTTCTTAAGAAATCGCAGGTGGTACGAAGATTTGTCAACTTCGAAGATAAAGAGGAAATAGCGTCTTGGAATTCTGACTGGAACATCAAGCACGCTATTCTCTCCGAAAAATGATGTATACTTGAAAGCTTCTTCAGAAAGACTTCCGGACGATCCAGAGGTACTTCCGGGCTTGCTTCCTCGAAAGCTTTTATGTCCTCCAGTTCCTTCTGCGTTGGTCTCTAATCGGCAATCATCGAATTATCGTCTCGTGATTAGAATAAAAATTATAACGTATGATTTTATACACTTACAATTTCGTATATTTGTTGCAACGCTTCCAAGCTAACTACACTCGTGTCTAGATTATAAACTGCGTTCTCCACCTCGCAAAAGTCCACGTGCAAACTCTTCTCTAGTATCCCCACGGTTTTAGATCGCTTCGAGTCGAGGATTTTCGCTGGTTGCACTTTAGACGGTTTCGAAGCGACGTCCGCCTTTTTTACCGGTTTTCTGTCGGTCACTTGGCGGGAGAACAGACCGGTGAACTCTTTCATGTCCAGATTTGTCTCTTCCTCTAGTTCCGCCCATAGCGGACCCTGCTGATAATCAAGTTTAACCATCGTCCTCGTACTTCGACAAGAAATTAACGTTCTGAAATTACCTGAGCGGCAGAATCCACAGCGTCGATGGAGCGACGTTCCGTAGGCACCACTGGTACCAGGATTCTCGTCCAATAGAGCGGTTTCATTGGAACCTCGGGACATAGAGGTTCTTTTCTTAAACCTGAATTGAAAAATTATGCAATCTAACCATCGCGAAATCTTCGAAGCAATTCAAGCGATACGCTGTTCTGTTACTCACACGCTCTGCTTGCCGGGTTCCAACCTCCAACCGGAGGTATTGGTAGAGGACAAGGTCCTGCCGGAGGCGGAGGCGGAGGAGGTGCTCCAGGTATTTCAAGCAGTGGAGGAGGCGGTGGTGCAGCAGGTTTGCTTCCAGGTGGCGGAGGCGGCGGTGGAGGTACTCCGCCGAAAGGTGTCGGAGGTGGTGGCGGCGGTGGTGGAATCGTTGGACCGCTGTGTAGTCCAAAGGAAGACTGCGACGACAGTTGCGATGGAGGTGCTGGAGGAGGAGGCGGTGGCGGCGGTGGTACCGAACTGAATACTGGTATCTGAGGTTGCGGCGGAGGCGGAGGTGGTGGTATGGATGCTATTAATTTACCGATGGACGGTGTAGGGGATGGCGGTGGCGGCGGCGGTGGCGGAGGTGCAGGAGTTTCTCTGTGAACTTCTCCAGTCATTGGTTGCAAAGGCGGCGGGGGTGGAGGTGGAGGAGGCGGAGGCGGTGGTATCGTTGGCAGGGAATTGGTAGTTCGTTGCGAAGGAATAGACTGCGCGGACGTTGAACAGGCGGGCAATGGCGGCGGTGGTGGTATCGAAAACGAAGGAGACAGAGAAGAAGTTGAATTATTGAGCGAGCGGTGGTCTAAGAAAGGAGACGGCGGAGGTGGTGGTGGTGGTGGTGGTGGCGGTGGTGGAGGTGTGATTGAGAATGTACTGGAGGATGAAATTTGCGGCGGTGGTGATAAAACTGGAGGTGAGGACGACGATAATCGTGCGGTTCGAGCCTGTGGCACCTCGCTCTCCGCACTCTTCGCGTCTTGCGAACTACTTCCGGTCGACGTCGAAGAAGCCGCGGTTGTGGGTTGTTCTTGAGGAGCTTCATTATGAACCACCGGACTGCCCAAAGGCGAAGTAGCCGCCTCGGAATACTTTAACTTCGAAAACTTCACGAAACTTCCTTCCGGATACTCGGCCGTCGGAGATGTCTGCGTAGATTTACCTTGCGTCGTTTTCTCCGCATACTTGGCGAGTTCCCGAAGACGTTCTAGCTCGCGTTTCAACGTTTCCTTCTCCGAATCCCATCGATCTTTGGCAGAGACACCTTCCGAATTTAGGGTAACGGATATGGACGGCGTGTCTCTGCGTTCTGTCTGATCTTCCTGAAACGAAAGAAACCATGTAAAAACGTAAAAAACTTCATAGATAGGAATATGCGTCCTACCGTAGATTCCTTGTGCGTGGCAGTATTAACTGTAATGGAACCAAGAACTCCATCAGAGACGAGTCTGGAGTAGATTCTAGAGGCGAATTGTTCCAATTCAGCTTCCGTAAGAGTAGACTTCAAGTGTTCCGGTAAGGCCGTAATTAACGAGTCGACGAGTCGTCGTTCTGAAAGATCGAACACTCGTTTCATTTCATTCTCCCTTTCATTAGGTCACTCTTGTTTATTCGAAAATGAATGAAAAAAAAACAAATCACAGAAACGAGAGCAACAGAGAACCTATACGATTGTCACAGATCCAACGCGAGTACAAGCTTATGATAACTTCGTTTTTCGCTTCTCCGCCGTTCGAAACTTTGTCCGGCATTGGCGGGTAAGTGCTTATCACTTGCTGCTCCGATCTCTGGTGCTTCCCAGAATTAATTATAGAACGGACTGGTGGTAATCAGTGCCGCCTGAAGTTTGTCATTCGAATTGAACAGCGAGCGTCCGTCGCGTTCTGGTTCGCGTTTGTTCTTCGGCAATTTGGTAAACGGACCGTGATAAGTAAGCGTTAACCTCTGACTGTGTGGAGATAATTGCTGATGGTTGATCCATCGAGGTTCCCTCTAACTACCATTCAGATGTGTCCTCTACCAGCCGGATGACCGTGGAACCACTGACAATCCGGACGAGGTCTCCCTTTCAAGACTCGTAGATACGAGCTTTTCAACGCCATGTTGAAACGAGAGGCTTTAAGATGAATTTTTTAATAGGCCCCAACGAACCTGTCGCGTCAAATGAACGCTTATCATCGCTCGGCGCCGGATGAAACTTTACTGTGGAAGAGCGAGTACGACACGTGGTGAAATCACGCCTCCTTGATAACACTTATCGCTTTCCTTATCAACGATAGGCATTTATTAATCTTGGCTTTGCATCGTCTCTGAGCGATTCGCGAATATCTCTGTAAACTTTCTCTTGAATTTCACTTCCTGGATTTAAGGTGAACGTACAGGATGTTTCATAACGAAGGTACAGTTTTAACGAGTACAACCGTGAAAGACATTCGAGTCTTTCAAAGCTTTCGTAACTAAAGACTATTAAAATCGGAATAAAATTCAAAGCGATTCGAAACTTTTTCTCTGTACTTACATTGTACTCATATACTTTGAAACGCTTTGTATTTGATTTCGTACATCGAGGTCACGCGTTGATAAAAAGAAGAAATATAGTAAAAGGCTTACCGAGCAGTGGGGCGATGGAAGACTGTTCGATCTCGCGACTCTTCGGTGCGGCGTAGGTGGTGGGAAGTAACGACGAGGTGGTCGTATCGGCCACTTCCGTCTTCGCAGCTTCCGCGGCGCCAGCCAGTTCTTCAGGGTCGGTAAACACGCTGTCGCTCGAGGATTCTTGACTCGGCGGCATCGAGATTTCCGTTACGACGAGACTTTTATTGGCTAATCGCCAAGAGTCTGTAACCAGAAGCGCTGGTCCTTGTTTTTGACTTTGACCAGATACCGCTACCATCGCGTTCGATGCCTCATCTTTCTCTTTAGTTTCCGTTAATACAATCGTGTCTACCGATTCCTCCTGCGATTCATCTTTCTTCTCGATCTTTCCCTCTCCTTCCTGTCGCGGCCTTTCTGGAGCCTCGGGTTTAGCTTCCGGAACCTGTTCAACCCCTTAGTTAAATTTCAGAGAGAATAAAAAAATTCCTTTATACATGTGTAACCTTCATCCTCACCCACTGACCTGTCTTTCGGCGAATTCAGGTGGCCTTGGTGCTTGTCTCTTGTGAGTCGGCCGCAATTTTTCCGTTCCACCCTTTTGACCATCTCCCGTTTTCCCAATACTCTGTGTCTTCTTAACTGGCGTCTCTTCTGTGTCTCCAGTCTCCCCGTCGTCCCCGGTGTCCGTCGCGTCCACCAGGCCATCCGCAATGGAGTCAGGAGTGCTAGCGGTCCCCTCGGTGGTTCCACGTCCCTTCTTGCCCTTCTTCTTCGCGTCGCTCTGCAGGTTACCCATCGCAGCTACCCCCGGGGCTCCCTGTCCCGTGAGACTTCCTGCCTCACGAGAGGCGGTGGCTGGTGAAGCTGTTGCAACGGGTGCAACTTCTACGTCCCCGGCATAGAAGGCTCTGAATGTGTTGATCCAGAGGCGGGCGATGTCGCGCAGCTTTGGCCTACTTAGACGCGGTGAATCCGCGGCTGCGCCCCTGTCCTCGCTCGCGTTCATCTCGATGGTCGATACGACGGTTCCTTTTCCTCTGCAGCGGCCACCGGTGTCCTCGAGGACGGACGCGCTTTCCCGCGAGCAGGAGACTGCTTCTTGAACCGGGCAGAGCTTTCTGTCCAGCCGTAAGCGAGGCGAGACTTTGACGAATTCTGACGAATCGGATTCACTGGGAGAGTGCCAAGGCGTGGATCACCTAGAAACGGCAGATTCACGGTGGTGGAAAATCCATGAAGAATTTCAGGTACGGTATAAACATTTTTTTTTTTTATTATAGATCTATGGTATCTATGTTGATAGAGGAATAATAGTTGGTCGTGTGTTGTTGTTACTGTTCACACAGCGTAAGAGAGTTCCAGGAAATAGATATCAACTGTAACCTCGTGTAACGTACACTTTTTTTGATAACATGTTCGCTGCGGATTTTAGCGATAGTGTAGTTTAATTAACATTATTATTAATCGCCTAGCGGCTGCGCGAGGGAAGGACTTAACCATCATTATCCTAACCTTCACTTGCGAGGGTAGAAACTTCTATGTCGAGAAGAAGAAGTGGCATCATTTTTATCGTCACTCTGCACTTACCTGGACGGTGCAGTCCGGTCGGTCCAAGGTATCGCGGGTATCATTCGAGGTCGTTGTACAAGTATCGATAACGTTTACGTCACGATCGAGATGCGCGTTTACGTTTCCACTCGTTCAGCCGGTGCGGCGTCACGCTGTCTGCGTTGAAACCGAGAACCATCTACCAGTTTCATTCGTTCAGCATCGATGAACATCACTCGTCACAAGTTCTTACGTATCCAGGCTCTCTTACGGATAGTCCAACGGTCAAACATCACAACTTCTGATTCGATCAGATTCGAAACTACTTGCTGAATTATCGATTCCTCGTTGGTTACCACGGAAAGTAACACCGTCCTGATCTCCTTGATGGAAGATGAATTTGAGGCTGCTTCTGGTAGAATTTCAATCTTCTTGGAGTCTCTTTGATGGAGACATGGTTCTTTATCGCAATGAATTTCAATCGATCGAATAGAGGTATAATTTTTAAGAAATTTATGCTAATAATATTTTTATTTGCGAAACGCTAACTCAAGACCGATTGTCGGTAAGCGCCTTCATTTCTGTGACGGTACGATGCACTGCAGACACGATTGTTTAGAATAATTGTTCGGTTTTATACTTATGGGAATTGATGTATATTAGTTAAGATGATTATAGATATTGTATGTACACGTAACGAATAGCAGTAAACTGATCTGGTATAAATACCGGGACGTTTTACACAACGTACGAATCGCGCAAGCTCGTAGAATCGCGACGAGAGACGGGATGTCTCGACGGATTATCGATGTCTCGGTCTATACAATATTCATTAGAATACCACCAATCGTTCCTTTATTCCTGCTATTACTATACATTCTATCTGCATATATGAAACGTTCACAGCAGTGTATAAATTTAAATAATTTACTTTGAATTGAGAATCATCTTCAGCACTTCCAGTACTTCTTCCTTATTAAATAAAGTGTTAATTAATTTCATGTTTTATGATTAATTTCTCCTGTGGCAAGCGTACATAGACATTGTGCAAGAAGCAAAAAAAAAAGCATTACAACAGAGTATAATATCGAAATGAAATTATGTAAGATGTAAATTAACATATAATTTATATATTATTCATTTGTACGTGCCACTCCTCACTATTCTTTTATTTATTATAAGACCGAAAAGTTATTAGAATAATTATTTGACAAACTTATATTTTGAGAAGACCGCCTAGAATTATTTTTAAAATTCGATCACTGCGCCATCTATACAAAAGCGGCGGAAACTACTCAATAAATTACCGACTCATCGACTGACTTTCGTCAGTTGGTAATCGACACTTCGGCAGTCGGTAAGTTAACAATAGTTTGCGCCATTTTTCTAGAGGTGGCGTAATGATCGATGACTTGGGGTGTTAGGGACCCCGAAGCACCGGTGATGCTATTTATATATCGACATTATAGCATCCGGGGTGTCAGGGACCCCGATGTATCGTTGGTGCTCTCTGCATACCGACCTATCATTTTGGGGTTTCAGAGACCCCAAAGCCGGTGATACCCTTTATACATATGCGGACATTATGGCATCGGGTGCCGGGGACCCCGATGCATCGATGACGCTCTCTGCATATCGACCTGTCATCTTGGGGTTTCAGAGACCCCAAAGCCCGGTGATACCCTTTATACATATGCGGACATTATGGCATCGGGGTGCCGGGGACACCGATGCATCGATGACGCTCTCTGTATTGTCGAGACCTACATGAAGCTAGCCGGAAGGAATAATAAAATATGATTATTTTTAATTTTTCTTTTAACGTTTGTGACAAATTAGTTCTTTTGTAGTTTCCAATTTTATTTCAGTCATGATGTGAGCCGGAACTTTTTAGTAATTTTGTATAATAAGCATATTTTATGATAACTGATAACTGTAATTGATTGGAAATCGTAGGCGATTTACAAATATATCATTTTCATTGTTGGTGAGTGAATAATTTCTTAATTATCTACAAGTTTGTTTTATAATTAATCACAAACGATTTACAAACGAAATACTCTAAGAAAAGTTAAAAACAATCATATTTTATTATTCCTTCCTGCTAGCTTCATGAAGGTAGCTAAAGGTATACATATACCCTTATTTTATTTTCTGCATTCATTTAATTTGCTGTAATTAACTTCCTTACCTTATTGAATAAACTCCTTAGGAGGACGAACGTGTTGATTTTATTACTTCCGTCTGCACCCTTTATATCTCTGATTTCACTATATCTCTGCACCCTTATATCACTGCATTCCTTACATCCCAGCAAACCTTACATCGCAGTATTCCTAACATTTCTGCATCCCTTACATTTCTGCATCCTTTTCATCCCTACATTCTTTTCATCCCTACATTCTTTTCATCCCTACATTCTCTTCATCCCTGCATTCTCTTCATCCCTACATTTATTTCATCAATACATTCTTTCCATCCCTACATTCCTTACACCGCTTCATCCCTTATATCCCTACACTCCTTACATCACTTTATCCCTTACATCCCGACATTCCTTACATCTCTCCATCCCTTACATCACTGCATCCCTTACATCGCTGCTTCCCTTACATCCCTGCATTCCTCACATCTCTACATCCCTTAGATCTCTGCATTCCTCACATTCCTGCCTTCTTTATATCGCAACATCTCTTACATCCTTGCATCCCTTACATGCCTGTGTCCTTTACATCCTCGCATCACTTATATTCCTGCTTTCAATACATCCCAGTACCTCCTTGAAATTGAGTTTAAATTTTCGCGTTTTTATACAAATTTAGTTCCTTTTTTCGCCACCAGAGGGCGCTGATTCGACGTCGAAAATTTAGTTCGCATTTTTGCCGCCAGAGGACCAAAAACTTGGCAAGGTTTAGTTCCTTTTTTCACATCCAGAGGGCGCTGATTCGACATCGAAAATTTAGTTCGCATTTTTGCCGCCAGAGGGCCAAAAACGTAGCAAGGTTTAGTTCCTTTTCTCACATCCAGAGGGCGCTGATTCGACGTCGAAAATTTAGTTCGCATTTTTGCCGCCAGAGGGCCAAAAACGTAGCAAGGTTTAGTTCCTTTTCTCACATCCAGAGGGCGCTGATTCGACGTCGAAAATTTAGTTCAAATTTTTGCCGCTAGGGGGCGCTATTTTTCGAGAATTTTGCGAAAATTTCGAAAAAACAACTTGTCTTTACTTACCTTTACGCGATACAGTCTTTATAATATATTTATTATAAGGGATGCAGAAATGTAAGGAATGTAGGGATGAAAGGAATGTAGGGATGAAAAGAATGTAGGGATGAAAAGAATGGAGGGATGAAAAGAATGTAGGGATGTAAGGGATGAAGCGATGTAGAGATGTAAGGGATGAAGCGATGTAAGGAATGTAGGGATGAAAAGAATGCAGGGATGTAAGGGATGAAGCGATGTAGGGATGTAAGGGATGAAGCGATGTAAGGAATGTAGGAATGTAAGGGATGAAGCGATGTAGGGATGTAAGGGATGAAGCGATGTAAGGAATGTAGGGATGAAAACAATGCAGGGATGTAAGGGATGAAGCGATGTAAGGAATGTAGGCATGAAAAGAATGCAGGGATGTAAGCGATGCAGAGATGTAACGGAACGAGGTATGTAAAGGAATTCCGTAGACGTCCGGGGCTGGGGCCCCGGTCGCCACTGCACACAGCCCGAGGAGGGTCAAAGGACCCTCCCTCCTGGTGCAGGCCACCGTGGTGGTTTTAGTAGGTAAAAATCCCACACTACCTCCGGCCCCTCCCCAGGGGGGCTGAAGGTGTCTTTCTGAAGATTTCCACCACGTTGAAAAAAAAAAAAAAGGGTAATTAAGGATTGATGGAATCTAAGGAATACAGGGATGGAAGGGATGCAGGGATGTAAGAGATACTGAGATGGCCTTGGCCATTAATGAGAAATAAAATTATATAAATAACTGGAAAAAGTAAAATAAATGAGGTCCTCGGCTGAAATCCAGGGGAGGGATATAATCATAAATGTTATACCCCTTCGATGAGCTTATTTGATAAGCAAAAAAGATAAATGAACTAAATTAAATAAACTCTGAAAGAAAATTATACTGGTTGTGCCCTCTTCATACGGACCTGATATGATCCAAGGATGTTAGGGACCCCGTTGCGCCAATGACGCCCTCTGCGTACCGACCTGATATCATATTGGGCTATTAAGGACCCCGAAACAACGGTGACTATCTTTGCATACCAAAAATATAGCATTCGGGGTGCCAGGGACCCCGAAGTACCAGTTACTATCTCTGCATACCGGCATAATATCATATTGGGCTATTAAGGACCCCGAAACAACGGTGACTATCTTTGCATACCAAAAATATAGCATTCGGGGTGCCAGGGACCCCGAAGTACCAGTTACTATCTCTGCATACCGGCATAATATCATATTGGGGTATTAAGGACCCCAAACACCGGTGACTATCTTTGCATACCAACAATATAGCATCCGGGGTGCCAGGGACCCCGAAGCACCAATTACTATTTCTGCATACCGACATAATATCATATTGGGATATTAAGGACCCCGAAACATCGGTGACTATCTTTGCATACCGAGAAGATAGCATCCGGGGTGCCAGGGACCCTGAAGCACCAGTTACTATCTCTGCATACCGACATAATATCATATCGGGGTATTAAGGACCCCGAAACACCGGTGGATATATTTGCATGCCAACAATATAGCATCCGGGGTGCCAGGGACCCCGCAGCACCAGTTACTATCTGTGCATACCGACATAATATCATCTTGGGGTGTCAGGAACCCCGAAACACCGGTGACACTGCATACCGACATTTTGGCATCCGGGGTGTCAGGGACCCCGAAGCACCGACGACACTCTTTGCTTACCGACACTACGGCATTCGGGGTATCTGAGACCCCGAGGAACCGGTGATCCTGCATTCGATATTATGTCACCGGGGTGTCAGAGACCCCGAGGCAAATAGCGAAATATAAGACCTAAAAACGAACAAATCGTGAAACTCACTTGTTCAGGATAGTGATGGGTACGACCGGATCTAGCGAAATATAAGACCTAAAAACGAACAAATCGTGAAACTCACTTGTTCGAGTAGTGATGGGTACGACCTGATTCGATCCTGGGGTGTCTGGGACCCCGAAGCACCGTTGACTCTCCCTGTATATTGACATTATGGAATTCGCGTCTCAGGGATCCCGAAGCTAAAATGTGCGATCTATAGACTTTCTATAGAAAAATTGAAACCTCTGTAACTTTGGACTCCGACCTCTTAGACGCACAAACGCAACGGTTTTGAGCTTGTCTCAGCAAGATCTTTCTAACGACGTCAATAAAATAAACACAGAAAATAAAATGAGGGTATATGTATGTTTAACAGGTAGGTCCGCACCCCTCGGCGGTCCCTATAAGACTGAGGTGGTTTTGTCTTCGCTCTAGGTCGAACGTAGGTCGAACGGTTGACAACGCTGCTGCATCCAGCTACCTTTACTCGCATTGTTGTTTGCAGATTATTTTCTTCTCCTTTTTTAAAGTGGGAAAATCTTACATAAGACACCCCACCGTCCCCTGGACGAGGGTGGCAGGGGAGTGTCAGATTCCTACCGACTAAAATCCCACGGCGACCGTCACTGATATTACAGGGAAGGCTCCAGATCCGTATGTGTATTACGCTAAAGCCTTAGAATTAAATAAATTAAAGGTATAATTCAGACAGAAAATGTAGAATTAAATATTTCATTGGGAAAGGACTTTTCAAATCCAATGGAAATCAGGGAATAAAATAACACAGTTACGAATGTCGTTTTATAGTTTATTTTATATCGCAACATAAAATTTGTACAAATAATAATTCGTAATAATATCGTAACTATAATGGACGATAATTGATATATATGTATGTGTGTCGATCGATATATATCAATTTCAGATTTGCACGCGACACAGGGGTGGCTCGTGGTGCATAGACACGTGACGACGCCTCCGGCGTCGTTTTCGCCCGTGCAAGAACACGTACGCACACGCAAACAATCACTCCAACCGACGTTTGATAAAACAGAGACGCGTTCGACATCGCTAAATATTCGCATCAAACGCGTTTTTTTTTTTTGCGAATGATTATGTTTGGTCGGTCGGTTTGTCGTTGAAAAGAACGGAAGAACGGGGATTTACCATCGTTTCCGGAGACGATGTGTCCTCGTCCAGCATCCGTTTCGATCACCGATCAATCGACGATGTTTCGTTGAATTAATTGTTCGTCCGTTTAGTCGACTACTTTGTCCAATTTAAAAAATACCCCATTTTTAATCATTTATTTCTAACTGATGGATTCATACGTGTCTTTATTTTAATCGAAAAATATGATATTTTTTGAACTGATCAAAGTAGTCTAACTGGTTGACTCTGGAAGGCGCGTTACAAATGAACGATTAATTAAAAACAGAAGGAAAGATTTAAGCAGAATATAAAAAATGATGTAACAACAGCGAATAAAGGAGACACCGTCCCGCGGTCGAAACAAAAACTCGCCCGTTCTCCCGATTGATAAAAAAAAATTAAAAAAAAAAAAAGAAAAAAGAAATCATCTTCGTTTTTAGTAGAAGAAATGAGATCACATAGTCGAAAGGAACGAACGCGTACGATCCGGCTGGTCCTTTTTTTTTCCTTCTTTCTCTGCTCTCCTCTAGCGCGTATATCTCATATATTTTTATGTATAAGTCTACACGAATGAAACACGATTCGACGAACGACGGCTGTTGGCCGCGCGTTTGCTGAGCGGTACAAAAATAAGAACTTCAACGAAGGTCGCTACGTTTATGCGAGATTCCTAAACGCGCCGCGTTAATAATACTACAAAACTAAAGGGACGCACGGTAGATGCGCGAGCCAAGAAATATCTTTTTACGTTAAAAGCGTAGCTATCGTTAGTTCGGCTTGATCACCGCGTAATCGCGATAATTAACGCGTGACGGCGAACGTTAACGGGACCTGAAGTACACCAGGTAATGCTTCACCGATCCTTCTTCCCTCGTCGTTGGTTCGCGTCGAACGAAAGGAGAACGAGCTCATCGAGTTCCATGAAATCCCTCAGGGCCCTGTCCGCCATCGCGTACAAACTCGTTAAGTACTGATACGTTTACCGTTATTTACAACAGATGAACGTTCGAAAGTTAACACAGCCCACATTTTTACCCACAGCTCGTCTTCTATCCAAGAATTTCGTTCACCCCTTAACATCTTAGACGGTTCAATTTTCATTCCCAATTCATGCACCAAAGTAAATAACAATATGAAGGTGGACATAACAAAACGATGTCAGAATTTATCACATTCCTACCGGGTTTCTCTTTAACGAATCAAAGGGCGCAAACGATTCTAGGCTTTCGACTAATCTGTGTCGGCCATCTTACTTTCGAACGGCAGACTTATTGCTTACGTTCCTAACAAGGAGAACTCTTCAAACACGAGCTCAGATTTTAATAAGACTTTGCATGTTAATAGATTACACTGTGATCTATCAACACAGAGAAGTTCATTAAAATTTGAGGGGACTTGGGAAGTTCCGCCTGTAAGCGCGCCGCGGGCGCAGTCAATTTATGGTACATGTACAGAAGAGGGTGTGTTCCCGGGTCGCGAATCCGGGAAGCACAATGGGGATCGTTCGTCGGTCGAGAATCGACGGCGTCGTCCACGATATAAAAGTACAAAATACGTAACGCGTCGTAGCTCGAACGCGAACTGTGTTCCAATAAAACGCCATCGAGCACGCGTTCGAGCTTCGTCGTTTCACGTGCGCGGTTATTTTCTTCTTCTTCTTCTTCTTATTTTTTTCTCTCGTTTTCGAAGGTATGGCCTCTTATGGCATCGCGTCAGCCTTTATGCGAGATTCATCAAGACTCGATCGTCCATCTTCGTCGCGAGTTACTTAGATACTACATTAAATATAATACACATCGAACGATAATATCGGTCGGCGAGAAACGAGTTATCTTCCTTTTGTCGGTCGTCTCTTTTCACAATTGTTCCGACAAAATAATCACTCGTAGGGTTTGGATCCCGTCGTTGTCTGCCATTTCGTCCGCCCTTTCCGAGGATTCGCCGTCTTTCAACGGGTTATTCGTCGATCCGTGCTCGCAGCCCTCCGCTTCAGCCCTCTCTTCGTCCGGCAGGCAATCGGCAACCTTCTCCTCGTCTTTCTGGCTCGTCTCGATTTCCCGCATCGTCGACGTTGCGACCGTCGCCGTGGAGGTGGTCGCGGTTGTCGTTGCGGCGCGACTCGAAGGGAGACCCGGCGTCCCCTCGAAGCCTGGGGACGCGGTGGGTGTTCGAGCGGCGAAAGGGAAATTGCAACACGTCTCCGTGTATCGCGCGACGCTCTCGAGCGCGTTGTTGCGCTCGTTCCTCGTCAAAGCGAACTGCGACAGCCGTCCCAAGCATCGTCCTCTGGCTTCGCAGCTTTCTTGGAACCGAAACGACGAACCGTAATCTGTTGCTTCGAAATTCGACGACTCGATTCCAGCCAGATGACGTTCGTAAACGTGATCGTTTCTGTACCGCGATTCGAGCGGATCGAAAGAGGCCAACTGCATGTGTCTTCCGCGAGAGTCGAACGAAGATCCGTCACCTCTTTCTTGTCCGAGCATCGACGTCGCGACGTCGACGGGAAGATTGCTGCACGCGGAGGAGGCTGGAAACGCTTTGGGAGATCCTGGGGTTACGTTACCACGGCTGATCTGTCCTGGAACCTCTGGCACAGGGTCCAGTTGACCGATGCATTCGAATCTTCGAGGAGACAAGATCCCAGAAGCGGTGCCGTTGATGGCGGAGAGGTAACGCAGCGATCGCGAGCCAGCACGTAGAGAGGACGTCTCCGATTCCGTGATTCCCAGTAATCCGGACTTGTCGACGCGTCGAACCGACGGCGAGGCTCCGTCGGGATCGTCGTACGATCTGGTATGAGGCTGAGGGCGACGCATCGAGTAGAAATCGCCGGTGAACGGAAGCGAGTTACCTGCGTAGCTTTCCCGATAAGAGAAGTGTACGGGAGGAGGGTAGGTCGGAGCGGTGGGATTTTCGGCGATTGTTATCGTCATTACAGCCGGCGTAGACGTGCAGGTGACGACGGTGGACGTTTTCGAGGTTGGCGGGGCGCTTACGATCGCGTTCCACGTCGATGTAGAGATCTGCGGCGGTGGCGGCGGTGGAGGAGGCGGCGGTGACGACGATTCAACGGGATTCTCGATCACAATCTCCATCCTATGGCGGAGCGGATCGCGCGAATGGTCCACCGGGTGATAAGTACCGGTGGCAGCCTGCTGCTATAGCCATGTGGTGCGTGTGGTTCCGGCTCGCGAGCCGGTAGGTAGATCTCAAACGATTATCTCCCGGATGATCCTTCGTCCACGGCTGTTCGGGGTCGAGTAGCCCGATTCGAGGCTCTCGTCGTACGACAAGCTGACCTGCTGAGGTGGCTTCGCGTCCTCGTCGTAGTTCTCCTGATAAGGTAGACCGGACACGTCGTACGGCGAATCTGTCGGACAAACAACGAACAAGGACTCTGTTGAGACTGAGAAAACAAAAGAATGCAGAGGCGAATACGTGCGCTGCGAGCGAGAACGAGCTGGAACAGGATGTGGCCAGGGAAAGGCTCGAGTTGCCGCAAACATTGTTCCCCGAGTTCGGAACTCTTCGAGATTTTTAAACCTCGGATATATAGTCACGTCTTAAGATACTCGAAAACGTGGGTAAGTATTAACCCAGGGGTTACCGAACTTTTTAAAAAACGGGCTGGATTGAAATTTTTCAAAACATGGGGGTTGGACGAGCATACATAGACGTAGGAAGAAACCGGTGGGCAATGTGGGTAGGGCAACATTGGGACAACGTGAGAGACATTACTGTACCTGGAATTCTTATATCAAATCACAATAGAACAATAGAAGGATCGTTGTCGTGTATTCGCGACCAAATCATAAAATTTTATAAAATCAATATTTCTTATATAAAATATTTATAAATAAAAGTTGGGGGGCGGATGAAAATTTATGGATGGTCGGATCTGGCCCGCCGGCCGTATTCAGAATGAAGTGTAAAACAACATATCTCAACGACAGCATAAAGTAAAATGTGTGATCAGCATTGTTTGCGAATTTTGTAATACCTTACGTTACACGGGATTATGTTTCGATGAAGTAAGCGTTACGGTTCGATTTGTGATTTATGATTCATATTATTTCTAAATGTTCGAAGAATTGTCGCAATTTATCTTGTATTTTGAAATAAAATAACATTGAAGTAATATCCCGAATAACGTGATTTGAAAAGTGTTGAAAAGCTTTGGCTATCCCGTAGCCGGCCGAACCTTCCTTTTTCCTGTTCCACCTTTAGCCGCGCGTTCACGATCGACCCCACGTCCGACGATGAGCATTCAATTCTATCTGTCGCAAGTTCCACGAGCAATTTAGTTATACGGAAGTTCGCGAATCGCCGGCAGTCGCCCCGTTATTCGAATCGAAAAATGTTTCGAGGTGTTTTCGACGTCTTGACAGCTTTAATAGCAAAACGGGGAACGAATTTAAGGCACTTTGAGCATTTCGAAAAGTCGCCGCGAGCTACCAAGGATATTAGAAGTCGGACGCTGATCAGAAATGTTATTTTCCTTAGCTCGAGCACAGTTCTCTGAATTACGTTTCCTCGTCCTTTCAAGTTTCAAAGTAGCCATGGAAACTTTTCGAAGAATAAAGTACGTTAACGCTTAAACGGCTGATCTTTCATAGCGTTATTTGTTTTCGATGATCAATGGCGGCACTTGGCGAAAAAAGGAGGGAGTTGTTGAAGTATTTAAAAAATTTTTTAAAACGTACACGACGAACGAAGAATTTTTAGATATTGGAAAAATAGTAATTTTAAATAAGACGCGACCGGGTCCCCGCTACAGGAAGTGGGCGGGGATCGCAGAAACGTGGAGTTCAACTAAAGAATACCACACTCACCGACGTGTTTTTGAGACTTTACGACAGTGGCGAATGGTTCCGAGCAAAACTGCTGTCGACTTAGATTATGGCTTTCCCGGTAATCCTCCCTCTGTGGGAGGTAATGAGGGTGGGTCGGGTAATCCGACTCGGTGGTTGCGTAGCCAGCCAGATCGTAAGGTTGGCCAACCCCGTTCGCCGCTGCTGACTTCATCTGCCAGATAGAGTCTTGCGAGTTAACCGAGCCTCCGTTATTGGAGTTCGAGTAACTGTTGTCCATGTAACCCATGTTGACGCCTGTCAGAACATGAATAAAGCAATTGCAATTTAACTGGGAATGAACAATAACCGGTTTATCTCTAGCTTCCCGTGAAAATATCCGTCACTAAGATTTGAATTTATAAGAAAGCGCGACAGCTTTCATTTCCGGCGAGCGTGGAATTTCAATCGGAATAAACTTCATCGATCATAACGTATTTGATTACTAACTAAATTTACGAGTTATTCGCGTATTTTTGCTTCAGAAATTCGATATTGCAGTCGTGTTTAACATTAACGGGGGGAAGGAGGAGGAATCTGAATATTTTATAAAGGCGCTAAAACGTTACCGATTAGAATGAATTATTTGTTGCTATCTTAATTATCCCGAAAACTATAACAGTTAGAGGAGTATTCGAATAAAAAGTAGCCAGTATAGAGCGGAGATAATACAGGAAAAAAAAAGGTACCGTATAAAGTTTGCAAAGTGTACAATAAAAGAACGGTCAGTAGTTCCGCACGAGTCTGTTACTGTATCACGGACAATATACAATGTGACTAATGTAACCGTAAGGAAGAAATGGTAAATTGAAATTGCAGTTTTCGGGGTGAATCGTTACAGCCATTACGGAGAAGATACGATCACCGAATACGCTAGAGCTCGTTAGACCATCCCACTTTTTAATACATTGTTTTTTTTTTCCTCCCCATCTTTAACCAAAAGAAGATACGATTCGGTAAAACGCAGCCAGTGTATAAATTGCGATTCAACCGTTCGTGAAAACGTTATCACCGAAATTACTATCGTTAGAAGGTTCATTACCATTGATATTGTGGTTCGGTTGATGATAACCGTATCCAGGCTGCGAGTACGCCGGTGTTTTCGAGTCTTCCATGGCCAACGCGTGATCCAGGCTGTGCTCGAGGGCTTTGTTCTCCGCGTAGTAAGGCGGAGGCGCTTGGCTCTGTTGACCGTTTCCAGCGACCAGGCTCGGTCGAACTCTGAATGGACAAAAGAACATCGAAACCCTGCCTCGACGAAAGCATTCGTGGAGATTGAAACACCTCGGACCAAGGTCCGGCGTCGGTTTTCGTTCGCCAAGTCAAGACACACTTACGCGTTCGAGTCCATCTCGTAATCCTTGGCCTTGGTCGCGTGTTTTCGACGGCATCGACAAAAGAGCAAGAGAAGCGCAGCGAATAGTAAGAAGACAGCTCCGCTGACCACCAGAGCGATTAAGGTGGGCGTTGCGAGGGCGCCTGCTTGGGCGATGTAGGACGGGCCGACTAAGACAAGCGGAAAATCGTACAACGTCTTACAATCGTGATCGTAGAGAAAATAAAAGTCGAGCAATCGAAGATATACTCACTCTCAGCCTCGGCGTAGTCGCCGCACTTTTGTCGGTCCGCCTTCAGGCAGAGTCGAACCCTGATCCTCGGCTCGGCGTCCAGAGTTTCGAGGTCGTCTAAGACACCCTCCCTTTGCGTGGGCGCGCTACCGAGTACTTCGAGTGGCCACTCGTCGAGGATTCTCCATTGGGATTCGTCGGTGGAGGAGGCAGGTCCGTCGAACTTCTCGATCGAGGCGACCAACGAGAGGCAAGTGGCGCCAACGCTGATGGCCAGCATACCGCTCTCGGGATCGTAGCTGACTCTCAATGGCGTCGGGATTTTCGCTACAGCGGTGGTGGCTGTTACCTCGTCCGAGTAATCCGAATGATTCTTTGTGTTGTACACTTTCACTTTGAACGTGTAGGTTTGATGCTGTTCCAAATTGGTCACGTTGCAGGGATTAGATCGACGACAATCTAGTTCGAGCCACTGACCAGCAGGTGGTCTAGGAACGGCGCAGTCTGGCGCCACGATCTCATCTCCGCCGGGTACTCTTCTGTACGACACGAAGTACTTGGTGATGGGTAGTCCACCGTCGAAACCGAGTTCCCAGAGCAGAGCCACGTGTGTCGGACCGACGTCCATTGCCGTGATATTGATGGGTCTCTCCGGTGCGCCCTTTGGTTGCAATCTAATGGTCGATGTGATGCTACCCTGCGCGTTTGCTGCTCTACAGCTGTAATCTCCGTAGTCCAGTTCACGAATGTTTGTTATCCTCAGGACAGAGGTGTACACGTCGTAATTGTCGCTGCTGGTTGAAATTTCATAATGGCCGTCGCTGGACGAACCTTGGAGGCTGGCCGCGTTTGTGCCGAAGCTCCATTGGAATTCGGGTTTGGGCCAGGCCTGAACTTTACACGCTACTTCGGCGGTCTCTCGTAGATTGTACGCGACCTTTCCGTGCTGATGCAGAGCGATCGGCTCGTGTTCCACCTTCAGCATCATCGTCGACTCGACCTTTTTTACCTCGTTCACGAACACGCAGGTATACTTGCCACGATCGCTAGCAACGATCTCGTCGGTTTGCGGTCTCGCGTGACCCAAGAAGCTTAGAGTCGAATTTACGGTGATAACGTTCCCGTGTCCTTCCGAGGCGCTAGTCGTCACTTTGTACAGCCTTTCGTCCGCGGTCAGCTCTTGATCGTCCTTCAACCATCTAACGCTGGGCCGAGGTTTGCCTTGCGCCACGCAGGATACTTGAAACGAAGACTCGCCGACCCTGCGAATAAGATTTTTCGTATCGCCATTATTTATAAAGGAAGAGGAAGGGATTTTCGAAAATTGAATCAACGAAACCGAGATAGCTTTCCTTTATGTATATGTATCTATATGTATGAAAAGTTTCCCTCCCTCCTACTGATTTATAGTAGCTCGTTATTACCCCCTCGTTTCATTAAAACAACGATCTGACGTTTAATTTCATAGCCGTTAAAAATACGGAGAAACGTTTCGAAAAGGAAACTGAACGGTCCGATGTAACGAACGTCGGAAGATAAATCTGTATTTTTAACGGCAAAAGAGATAATTAGGTATTCTGTTTCTGGCCGGCCATTCTCTATTAAACCCCGTTATCCGGCATAATTACGAACCACGTCACGGGACATACGAAGATGAATTTCATGCAAATGCAAGAGTTATAGTCGTCAGGGAAGAGGATCTATGCCGACGTCTCTGAATCTCATCGAATCGTAAACGTTATCGTTGATGCCGTTTTAATTACGCGCCCATTTAATGTACTTGCAATATCTGAGACGATTAAAAGTTCCTTCTGCCCTTCCCCCGGACTTTTAAAAGTATAAAGGTCTTTAATGTTGGCTGGCTTTAACGTCGGCTTAAAGTACACTGACCCAATTTCGTAGCGACCTACTAATAACGCGGCGCGTTATGGAGAAACGCTTTTAATTAGCATCTAAACTTTTATCTAGCTCCCTGGTATATAGCGAAGAAAAAAGGGAAAATCCAGCAGTAGAAAGATACTCACTTCCTGGTAACGTGTGGTTGCAACTTGGTAAGTATCTTGGGGGGTTGATGCACGGTCAGATTAACGGAAGCGGCTTCACCGTTGCCAATCTCGTTGGTGGCATGGCATTTATAAGTTCCCTCGCTACCTAAGTGAACCGAGTCGATCTCGTATCTTGGTCCTGTGTTCTCGGAAGGCATGGATATGCTTCCAGATTCTCCTTCCTTCCACCATTTGTACCTTGGTTCTGGGTAACCAGCCGGACTGGCCATACAGGTAAGGATGACCCTGGATCCTTCTACGGCGACCGGTGAGTCCGGTGTGACCCTTGCCGGGCCGGGTTTGTGCCTGACGCGTACGGTGAGTCGTGCCGAGGCGGAATAGTTTCTTCTCTCGCCGCCAGAGGGATATATCGTATTCACCGCTCGACAGGTATAATTTCCGGCATGATCGGCGGTGACGCGACTCAGTCGTAAAATGGAGCCGATTTGCCGGAAATCCGGCCGACCGTCGCGCAGCCACTCGATCACCGATGGCGGAGGATTCGCAGTCACGTTGCAATGTACTGTCACCGTGTCCTCCACTTCGGCGATCCTCAAAGAATCGCCTTCAATCGAAACGGTCGGCGGATAGAGAACGTCCAACATGAGAGAACTCTCGCCTCTTTTGCCCAACCCGTTGTCTGCCTGACAGGTGTATTTACCGGCATCTTGAACGGTTACCCTCCTGATAGTGTGTTGGAAACTGGTCGCCACGAAGCTACCGTCGCGCCACCATCTTACCATGCCTACGGCCGGTTTCGAATCCACGCGACATTCCAGATTCGCCGTTCCGTTCACCTCCACCTTCAAAGGGTTCTCCGGACCAACGGTGACCCGAGGGAAATAGTTGACGTCTAGGGTTACCGTGGCGTTCAAAGTTTCCCCATCGCGCATCGCACGATTTCTTACCACGCATCGGAAGGTGGCTCTGTCGTCTTCCTTCTTTGGCTCCACCAGTAAAGTTCTGCCAGAATAGAGGATGTTGGTCTCGTTGCCGCGGTACCATCTTACTTCCGGCTCTGGGCTTCCACCGTTAGTGTTGCACTGCAACTCGAGCTTCTGTCCCTCGGTGGCGGACGCGGAAGTCGGCGAGATGCTCGGCGGCCCTGGTGCACGGAGCACGGTCAGGGTGATAAACTTTCGATGCAGGTCGTGCCCGGTGCCGCTAGCCTTCACTCGGCACTCGTATTTCCCGTTGTCCCGTTCGTAGGATACGTTCCGTATCTGCAGGTCGTACCTGCCCTCCTCCAGGTTCATGAACACTTTGTACTGCGGCGACAGCGCGAGATTGTCGATGGCCGCGTTGTCGTGATTGTCGTTGGTGTGCGTCAACCAGAAACACGTGACGTTCTCTCTCGGCGGGGAGAATCGACACTGCAGCTGTACCGTCGACCCCTCGTGCGTGTCCATCTGCGTCTCCTCGACGCGCCCTTGTGCCGCTGCTGAAATACAACCGAAACGAACCGTCCTCGTTAGAACCCGCGGTTATATAGATACTATTTTTCATCGCCTGTCGCTCGTTTTCTTTTCATCGCGCCCTCTATATTTTCTCGCCAGCACGAATCTTTTATCTAGCATCTTAGCCCCGGTGCAATGTAAGGCACGCGTGACCGCGGTCGGAAAGGCTGACCGCACCGTTGCACGAGAATCTTTTTGCAAACGTTCTCAACCGGTATCGAACCGGCATACGAGATGTGTCCAGTACGCGTCAAAAACAATCGACGATCCGACGTTGTCTCGTCTCATCATTGGGTCGCGTAACGGTACAGTCACCGGTTTGACTTCTCGCCGATATCGCAAGACCTCTCTTTCTTCATTCTCCGGTTCCTTTCGTTTACAACGCGAACCCCACTCCCTCCGGTTCGTTAGTTCGTCGAAGGTATCGTTCCTCTTTCTGTCTAACCACCTTCTCTAACACGATACCTCCGTCTCTGTCCAACCGTACTCTCTCGCCTTACCTGTACAACATACGTCCGGGCTGCCCCACACCCCATCTTTTCTCTGCCTATGCACCAGTCTATATTTACGTCTGCTTGTCTCTCTATAAATCCATCCGCGCCGTTCTATCCCTCTTCCTTCGCCCTCCCCCCCTTCTTACCTAACCATCGACCCATCGCAGCTTACGTTTTCCCTCTCTACCCTTCGACCGACGTTTCCCAACGACTTGTTTACTTTTCGATACAGCTTTCTTGCTCGCGTGCCATCGAGCCAACGTTCGATTTCTTCTATCGCGTCCCCCCGTAATGTTTTACTATCTTTACGAGCACGCGGAACGCGAACGAACGGTTCAACGAAGACGGAACATAGGCAGGCACCTATATAACCAGAGTCGAGAGCACGTGCGAAAAATCGATAGTCGCCCGGTATCGATCGTAGGTATCGAAACGTCGAAACGTAGCTAGAGTACGTAACTCGTAACGGCTGGCGTTCGCCGAACCGGAGAGCGAAAAGCGAGGCGTCGTCGTTTAGCGTTAACGCGCCTCGTTCCGTACGGAGACACCTGTGGCAGCCGAGCTACGTCACGAGACCTAATACCGTCACAAGCCGTAGTTTGGTATTTCCCGAATGGGAAGCTGCTACGACCGAGCTGCTCTGCATACCCGACGAATTTACGACGCTTCTAACCTAAGTGCCGTCGGTTTCTCCTTGAAAGCGATAAAATACTACAACGAGCCAGCGGGAGCTCGTTAGTTTAGACTGAAATCGCGTGGTCTCTCGATTGGTCGAGCGAAAGGAGGCCTCCTCTTGGCCTCGCGCGGACCAGAACGAGTTTGTTAAAAGGACGCGTCGCGCTTGACTCACTGGAAACTGCGACATACCGACACGGTACGTCGCAACAATCGCGTGATATATAAAACGAGGACTCGTTTTAGGGAAATGCGAAATTAAAATATCCTCGTATGCGACTAGCTAACCTCTTTGAATTTCGACGAATTTTCCAGGGAGATACTTACCGTGATGCAACAGCAGCAACGAAACGGCTAGGATCGCCGTGCTCGGCAATCGAACGATTCGAATCCTATCCATTCTATCGTTTAAACGAATTCCACGAGAAGTTTGATTGCAGCTGAACAACGAGAGACGCAAATTGCTCGGCTCCATTCGAGCCGAAGGATAGAGTTCCGCGTTGCGCCGACTTTCACCGAGAATCGACGACGATGCGCGATTTCGAGAAGCACGCGGGATCGATCGTATCGATCGCGTCGTCGATCACGCTCGCCAACTCACTGAAAACACTGCACGCATCTTTTGATGTTCGCTTCGTCGCACCTATTCCACTGTCACACCTTCTGTCACTGTTATTTCTCTCTCCCTTCGTCGAGGCTGGTAGAAACCGAATCGTTAGCTTCATCGGTTTTGCGATCCTACGAATCGACGTTTTTTTTTCCCCTCTCCGATTCCAACCGGACTCGTTTCAACAGTCTACCTGGAAGGTAGACCCACGCGCGTCGTTCTGCGATCCACTGGCTCGAATGAGCACTCCATCTCACGGATTCTTCGCACTCGTGTGCGTCGATTTCTCAACCGTTCCTCGAGGCTCGCACGGTGATTCCCATCGCGAGCGACCGTCTACGAAATTGGACGGGGAAACAATTCGAAAATCGAAAGAAACGTTTGCGCGCGATTTCAAAATGCCACGTTGCAAAGAGCGAAGATACTTCTTTGTTCGGGCGAGATTCTTTTACACCTGTGTTTCGCACACTTTTATTATTTCTGTTGCTAGTCTGCGTCGACCCTGGATCCGTCTACCAAACGTTCCTCTCTCTCCGCCGTCACTTTCCCCGGTGGTTCTTTTTTTGCAAAACGGCCGTCGATGCAAAAATAGAGAGGCACGCGGAGTAAGGAAGTCGGGAATGCGACCGGAATAGTTTGGAAAACCGCTACGTCGTTAAGAGGTAGGATCAAACTCGAACGAAAGATGAAGAATCGAAGACACCTTGGAGTTTAAATTTCCAATAATCCAAAAAGTTAACGCCAACACACTCCACGAGGGTCGCGCGACGACTGAGCTTGGGGTCGCATAGCATCGCTGCTACCCCCCACCGTCCGTTTCCCCTTGTTCGCTACGAGCCCCCACTACGTTCTTGTGCGCGCGTAAGCGCAGCGTACAACCGGTCGCTACGATGCAGGCTCGACGGTTCGAGGCTAAGGTACAACGATGGTGTCGGTGGTGGTGGCGATGGTGATGGTGGAAGAGAAGGTGGCAGTGCCTGAACGGAAGACGAATGCACCAACGAACGCGAAAATGGGAGAAACGAAGATGGAGCAAAGTAGCACGAAGAGAAAAAAAAAAAGAGGACGGAACGAGGAGAAGATGGAGGGAATGGACGGTAGGGCATGATGAAGACGACGCGGTTGAAGCAAAGGGTAAAACGTTCGAGGGGAAGAGGCGTTGGTTAGAAAAGGTAAAACGCAGCCGAGAACAGCTTGCCCCCACCGACCTATGCGGCAGGTGGTTCCTACCGTCCTGGGCTAGGCCCATGGGACTGCCAAACCTTCGCGCAACCGTCTGTCGTTCAACTTTTTCACTGGTAAACCTGCTATCGACCCACGCGCAATTTTTTAAACTTTCACGACCGCTAGAAACACGAGGTTAGGGAACAGTTCCATTCGGGCAAAGTTTAGCGATTACGGTACAAGTTTGAGTACAAAAGCGTCGGATTCAAGTACGCTATGGTGTAGGTATAGTTTCTTAGGACAATGATCGATTCGCAACTAAGAGTAGATGTTAGAAGAAGACTAGGACCGGTGGTTGTTGGACGGTCGAATGACACCTTGGTGCAGCAGGTGTCCGTTCCTCGAGGATCGCGCCTTTCCACTCGATTCACCCTGCTACCTGGCTCGAACTTTCGGCCATCTGCTCTTCCCAGCCCGAATTCTCTATTTTTCTAGGAATAAATATTCTCATCCCACGCGGAGACTGGTGTTGCCGATGAAAGGTGCACGGACATATGGTTCCCGTGGAAATTCGACGTTTCCCACCCCCGTGCATTATGATCTCGAACCGTGAGAGACGGTGGCTAAAGGAGGGAGCCGAGGGAGCGTAGGAAGGAGTACGAAATGAAATTGAAGCCGGGTCTCGAGGACAGGAGGGCAAGTGAAGCTCGACTTCGATGGAAGGTGAACGCGACGAAGGGGAAACGTTTCGCCGATCGGTCTGGGGTATTTAAAAAAGAAAAAAAAAAATCGAACCGCTCGCGATTGGTTAGACGAAGGGACCGAGTCCGCGCGTGGAACGCGTCGAAAATGTGCTTAATTAAACGATAACGATTCTCGTTCGCGAATCGTTAACGAACCTTCCGTCCCGCGAGCTGGGGTGGAACGGTCAGCTGGATAAGCCCCGGCAGAATCGTCGAAATAATTGCGGCCACGATAATTGCGCCTCGATTCGAGCGTGATTCGCGTCCGTCCCGCGCGCTATATAACTTTCCATCAGGAGGATTAAAAGTACACGGTCGAGCCGTGTGTCATCTAGGCGGACGCGTCATAAACGCCGGGAATATATCTGCGACTCACAATTCTAATGAAAAGATCTCTTCCGCAATCATTGCTTTTCCACCCCGCTCGTAAAAAGCGACCGTTTAATCCTAGCAGATTTTAATGGAGGACCTCGTAACTACGGTCTCTTTTTCTACCAGTCAGATATTACCGAGGCAAGGTTACAGCCGAAGAAAAAGGACGTCTCTGCGCCGCCGCGGCTCAGCATCCCGTGGCCGCGTCCAGTCACGCGAACCATTAAAGATTCAAAGGCCCGGAGGCGAGCAGATGGTGCCCGAACCGAGAAACGAGAATCGGAGGATCGGAGAAGCAACAGCCTGGACTCGGACCCCGAAAGGGGCCTCTGCCTCTCGGCACTCGGGGAAATTACCTAGGAAGTGGCAACACTGCCGTACCGCGGTTACGTTCTTACGGTCGTGCCGGTGACCGAGAGCACCCGACCCCTTCCCCGGGGCCTACACACGCTTCTCCACGAATCTCGCCAGGTACTTTTCTACGCTTACGTTCGAATACGAACGACTCCACTCTCTTCCCCTACCTTCTTTCTTTCCTTACCTTACCTTACCTTTCCTTTCCTTCTTCCTCTCACCCCCGCCCCCTTCTGCCTACCTTTCCAACTCTCCGACGTCCGACAACGTCGCTTCGCGATCTTGCAACACCGTCGGGCCCCGGGGCCGGAGCTGGCAACCTTGTAGCATCGGGCCCCGATACTGTGGCTGGCCCGATACCACTATACATCCAGCAGCGATGCCTCGGCTATTTGACTTTCTTACCGTTACCATTCTCGCACGTGCGTTATCGGCGCCAGCCTTTGTTCCATGATCCAACGATCGCCCCAGTCTCCCACCTCCATCGGGAGGACATTGGCCGAATAAGACACGCGCGAACGTCAAACAGAACCTAACGTAGTTTGATGACATTGAATTAATCATGAGTTTCGGACTTGACACTACGCGATAACGAACGTCCCCACGGCTACTGCCGGCCACTACTGTTGGGAGTTTAATCCCGGAGATGGAGTATTTCTGCTTATCCATTCCATAAATTGTAGGCTCAAACAGGAGAGCTCTTCGAAGCAGCTCTTCGGATGCAACACGCTCGCTTCTTAGAATCCTTATGTTGGAACAGTGTCCGCTTCTTCCGCGCCTATATGAGAGATCTGGCATCGAGAATCCACGGTTCTCCGAAGGGAAATAATAATTTTACCACGAGTTTAATCTGAAGCTGGACCGAGGTACAGAATTTTGTCGCTGCGGACCGATTCCCGTCAGCCCGATAGCGTCGGAGCCTATGGAAGAATACCGAAAGAATCGCATTCGTTTTCACAGCTCCAGACACCACATCTGCTTTGTTTCTTCTCTACAATGGGATATATTTCGGGCCAGACTTCAAACCGGTCAGCCTCCAAATACCTTCCTCCGATCTCTCTCTGGCCGTAGCATCGCGACGCCAGAGACGCAGCGTAGGTCCGAAGCTAACGTATATTCGGCTGCAACGCAGGCTTCCTTTCATTAAAAGGAAAGGTAGGAGTAGCCTCGCACCATTTGCTTTCGTGCCTTTGGACAGGGCGAAAGACTATACGCTGCAACACCTATACACCCACGCCTTGGCAATGGTACTCGTCGGTTCCATCGCTTTCTCTGGACGCTACCGTCCCCCGCCTTTCGTCGACCTTGGAATTCCTGATTCCCTGGCGTACCGCGCGTCCATCGATACGTCGCGTTGCTCGAACAAATACGAGGTTACCGCCTGGTGAACAGGCGAGGTCGCGCGTAACACGCGCGTACCGCTACGCCGATACCGATATTGGGCGGACTCGTTCACGGTACGGTGGACGAAACCTTGTGTCCCGGTTCGGGACGCAACGTGGACGTGGAAAAATGAGGCGCGAGAGGTGACGGGCGAAGGCGTAAGCGAAACCGCATGGCTCCGGGAACCGGCAGCAACAAGAGACTCTTTCATTTGGTGAGCCGAAGGAACGCCGCCGGTTCGGCGACAAAAACACGCTCCTCTTCTCTTTCTGTTGCTAGAGGTTAAGAGGACGCTTATCGCGCCGGTACCGTCGAGTGCATTCCTGCAGTCTGTCGTCGCGAACGACGTGGCGTTAAACGGAAAGAAGGAGAGAGAGGGAGAAAAAAAAATGGAGCAGCATCTCGGTCGCCAGAAATGAGATGCGACGACGCGGCAAACGGCGGACCCAGACCGTGATGCTCGTTTACGAAATGAGAAAGAAATGTAAACGAAGGCAGGAAACCGAGAAGGTGGATTGACGAACGAGACCGATAAGAAAAAGAACACGTGCCGGCTCGTTAAAACGTTAATACACGAACGAGACCGGATATCGCGAGCTTAAAGCTTCTTGGAGGAATAACAGAAGCTAGCCGAGCAAAAGCCCGCGAATCCCGGTGGCCAGGCCTATATTTGTATATAGGCTTCGAGCTCGGAAACGAAAGGGAGACCGAGGGAGGCAAGCAACAGAGGGTCGCTAGAGGGCCGAGAAGCGAAGCGAGCGGTCGGCCAAGCCAGCCAGAGAGTCGAACAGACGGAAGGAAGGCGGAAGAGAGGAGAGAAGAGGATGCAAAAGGTCTTGGGTTCAACGTTTCCTAAGAGACGATCGAGGCTAAATTTAACCCTGTTCGCGTCACGGTACAGCAGATACGAGAACCGCTTTCAATCCGAACACCGTCAAAATTCTCCCTTTGATTGGCGTTCTCGATCGATGTTCGATACCGCGGCTTCTAGGCGCGATAAAAACGAAACCCACCAACGGCTGGTACGACGTTTACCCGTTTCTTTCGTCTTCGGGATGGAGAAAAGACGGTCGCGTTTCCGCGAAAAGACTCGTACGGTCCCCGTACCCGTTAGGTGACGGTATAAAGCTTGCTTTACACGTTCCTGCAATTTGCACAAATCGACTCGAACGAGTAAACATAGTAACGCGAATTGTACGAACGTGTAAACTGAGCTTAAAACGTTCTCGAGGTGTAAGAAATTCTGACGTCCAGAGCATCTGGAGAACGTTGCCTGTCGTCTCCATTGAGGGTGCCACTTGCGGCACCCATTTCGGGCATTCTTGTGCAGGGCGCACCATTTGCCAAGTGGCAACACACTCCAGAAACATGTATAGATCGTAATCAATAAAATTTTTATACAATTTCTTGACTGTGTCCATCATCCTATCCCATTTAGAGTTTTCTTACAGAGGATTCATTAGGGATCCTATTTCGCGCCAAAATGGATCCACTTATAGGAGAGATGGAGAGATAAGGAAAACGGTGCAATTAAGAGAGGTGTCGAGTAATCAATTTGGAAAATCTCTTTCGTGAAAGAAAATCAAAGTCTCTGTTCGTAGTAAGGCGGTGATAACAGTGTCTTCCATTCGACCCCGAAACGATAAGGGGTCGGGCACGGTCCCAGCTTCGTGATATCTGCTTCTCGCGCCTCGTTTATCTTTCCTCGATTGCTTCTTCTAAACGCCCCCGCCTCGATCTTTCTCATCGAGGCTTCTGTCGACGCGACGATACGACGTGGCGTCTCGGTACCCGCACCGAACAGACGCCCGTCGTTGCGTGAAACAATGTGCTCATGGACGACGAAGGAGCGTGGGATACGCACAAGCAGTACATATCACGTGTCCCTGCTGGTTGTGTTTGAAACGCGTACGTACTCGTACGCATACGTATCTCTACGCTTGCTGCGTGCCTACGTGCCTGCGTGCTTACACAGCCAGCTCGAAAGGTTCCCTTTGTCCCCTTCATGGGTTCCTGTTTTTTTGTTTTCTCCATCTGGAAAGAGTGGTCGAACGTGACCGAGCGACCTAAACGTTCCCGACCGTTGGCAGCTATGTACAAGCAAAGCACCTACCGCTGTTTTGACGGATTGCCGGGAAGGTAACGAGCTGGCACGTTTACGAGCGTAACGAATTCGCGTTTACCCTGCCCACGAAACGGCAGAAACTCGCGGCGTACATTTCTGCACGAAGGACAATTATCGTTGGCTGGGGAAAAAATCGAGGTCGCTTCCTTCCGCGTGCGCGAGCAAACGTGCGTTCTTCGTTTAAATCTACGCCAGTCGATCGACTATCGTCGATGACGTTATTATTATAAGCAGCAAGGGAATCGCTTTTCAACCAGTGCTCCGCTTAGGAAATACACGCTGAGATTACGGTGGATCAGAGGGCGCAACCTATCGGCTCGATACTTTACGCGTGAAGTGTTGGCCAACAGCGATCGTTCCCTTTTTCTTTGCTCGTTAGCCGTAAAAGAATAAATAAGGGCGAATAAATCTCGACATGGGACTGGACGTTACCCAAACGAAGCGTAATTGGGAAACGAAGGAACTCGAATACCATGGCTCGAGACCATCGCGCAACTGACTTCCTGATAAGGAGACAAAACCGCACCAACTCTATTCCAAGCAATGTCAGCGTACGTTGCTACCATAATTCTTCTCCAACTGCAGGATAGTGTCAATTTCGAGCATTAGGGGTTAAGAACCTGGTATTAAAAGACGCAACTAAATAAATATCCACCCCTCAGCAACCATCACCCTTCAAGTGGCGCCGAGTATGGATAAACTGAATACTCATGAGTTTGGCAAATCATTCTATCGGGTGTGGAAGATACTCGACTCTGCGTCAGCGTAAGGAATTATATTCTTGGGTCGAAAAAACTAACCTGAGTGGGTTAGCAACAGCACCCACCAGGCGCTTTAGATTCCAAGCTGACAGAAGACTAAACACCTAACAGTGGCTTTATTTTCAACCCTTGCCTTGGCATCCGCCATATTTCGATAGGGAATTACATCGCTGAATTAATCTCGCGTGACATCCGCTGTAAAATGTAATTTCGAATAAGACAGTCCCATACTTTCAGTCGAAGGTGTAAGGGTTAAAGTGGACCGTGTCCGA